AGGAGAGAAATATGCACAGATCAAGCACCGTTTAGAAAAAAGAACAGTCCAGTTTTAAACAAATATGTTGGTTAGGATTGGTATTTTGACCAGAAGTGACAAAATTGCTGACATTCTATCAGCTGTTTGGACTCTCATTCTGACGGCACCCATTCACTGCAGAGGATTTATTGGTGAGTGATGTAATGCTACATTTCTAGAAATCTGTTCTGATGAAGAAACAAACTCATGTTTTTCTACTTCGAAATGTTGTTTCAATTCAGTGTTACTTGCCATTTCTTCATAATTATTTGTCAAATTTACTAGCAATTTCTAAGTGAAACTTGTTTCAAAGTAAATCCTACACCAATTTATTTTCAGTGTTGGACATTTTGCAAACTCCTCTTGTGTTGTGCTGTTGAAGGAAAGTGAAATGAAAGACACGAGGGTGACTAAATGATGACAATTTTCATGTTTGTGCAAACTATTCCTTTAACATCATACACTTGAAAACAGCAGAGTGCTCCTACAAGCCATAATTAAAACTGTTGTCACAAGTGCTTTTCTCACCACGCAGTATGTTTTAATGTGATTCATTTACTTTGTGTTTGAAATATACTTCAGAAAAAAAAAAGAGTGTTCAGTCTGGTTTAGTTCAGTAAACAATGCGCAGCACTGCATAAACATCTCTGAAATGGAGGTGGTTTGCAGAAGATATCTGAAACATAAACAGAGAGTGTAGAAAAGCTCTTGAGATTTAAAGAGGCATCTCTGAATGAGGCGGTGAGTCACCTCCTGAATGTACTCTTCAAAGTCACGGATCTCAGCTCTCCCTGTTCACTGGAGATGTACGAGAGGATTCAAGCCAAACACACCTTCTCAATACAACCAAGATATGTCGCAAAAGCACTTAAAGGAGTAAAGAAATTGCTGAATTTGAAGAGTTCATGGCAACTCTTGGCTGAAATGACTTGAGGAAAAAAAATTGAGCAATTATAAGTGTCATGAGTAAGTCGTGAGGTAAATTTATTTATCATGAAATGAATAGGAGAATCTAATGAAACCTGCCCAGAAATATGTCCAGGTGTCCAACTAGCAAGAAGCTATATATTTAGCAATTTAAGCCATTTTAGGACAATTATTACTTGTCATTACCAATAGTACCAATAGTAATTAATACGGTAACACTTTAGGTGTCCTTGTTACACATGTTGCATGTACCTACTATTATAATAACAATAAATTATGCATAATTACATGCAAGTAACCCTAAGCCAAACCCTAAGTTATAGTAAGTACATGTAGTTAATTAATATTACTCAGTACTTAAATGTATAATAACAATGACACCTTAAATTAAAGTGTACTCATAAGTGGAATAGGAATATGATTTAAATACATTGATATATTATTTAAATTCTAAAGTTTTATACATATTTTTTAGTATTATTTATACAGTATTATTTGTATAAAAAAACGTTTAAAATATAAAATACAGGAAAACTACAGGGAACAGGGAGAAAAATACTGTTTTACAGAAAAGAGAAACTACTGAGAGTAAAAAAGCCTCAGAAGCAAAATGTCCATATCATTACATTTGAGGGTGAAAATGTGTTTAATTGTCATTCAAATAATGGCACATTGGGAAAAAGGTCTTAAAATAGGCAAATTACTATTATTATTATTATTAATTCAGGGGTTAAATGTAACAGACATGTTCTTGACAAATTTCATAGTGAAGTTACTGTATATTTGGACATCTGGGACTTTAAAAAGATAAAAGGTAATTTTCTTTCTTATGTTTTGTTTTTTGTTGACTTTTTATTTAAGAAAAAAAATCTTATTTCAGTTCCATTATATCTGTGTCAATCTACATTAACCAAATCATCTGCATCTGTTGTGCCAAATTGTTTGCGATGGGCCGGGTTTGTTTGAATAAAACAGCGCTTTATTTTATGAATACTGCAATGTGTCAACACATGAAAATTGATTTGCCCGAGGCACAGCCTGATGTCTCCATTTCTGTGGCCTGATTATAACCTGGAAACTTTCTATTGGCTCTGCGTATATCCTTTCCACCGCTTCATTTTATAGCTTGTTGACTCGCACAGTATTCCAGACCGACAGTCGTGTATGTCTAACATTTACAAGTCCTCCCTCTGAGGTTTGGCCTCAATCAAGATTTTATGCTAATTACACACTGTATAAACGTTATAGTTCAGCACACAATAGGCCACTTGTCACTTAAACCAATGATGATACGTTACACCAGAAGTAATTACTACCCTCGTCTTCAAAGATCCAACAAGGACTTTTGGGTAATCAATCCCTGATATTTAACTTTAGAAACACAAGCTACCATGTGTCTCAAGTAAAACACTGCAGACAAGAACATTTAGTGAAGGATTTACTTTGATTTGACTATTTTCAGTCAGAAATTGCTTGTAAATTTCACAAATAAATGCATAGAATTGCAAGTAACTGAAAAAAAAAACTTTTTACAGTATGTAAAGGTTTTCCAATGGCTTATCATTTTTGAAGTGTATACAGCTGACGTGTTGCATAGTGTGTTCATTGATTTCTGTCCTTTTCCCATCTTTTGTTCAGCTTTTCTTGACTCGAGAATCTCAAGCAAAAGGTTGCCATGTGTATGTTCCTGTTCTATCACTTTCTCTCTGTGTTCAGAGACAAAAGCATAAAGATTACCTCCAAGTCTTCCCATAATCCCCAAGGATACACATTCGCTTTCTCTCCTGTCAAAAGCCATCCGATCCAGAGTCATGCCCTTCTAACTTGACAAAGGGTGTATATCTTAATGGAGTGAATATGTTGCGGTTAGCATGTTTTTTATTCCACTAAACTTGAAGCTAGCACTAGAATAAAGTAAAAAAATACCACAAAAAGAAACTGATTTCTGTGGCGTGACTGTCGTTGCGCAATGTTTTTGTTGTGGGAGATCACTGTTTATGGCTCGTGTATACTTACAGGAGCTGTATTGTGTCATTACAGTGTGTTTTATGATTGAAGTGGCGTTCAGAAATTAATCTGCGTGATGAGGGAGCTGTGCTAAGTGCAACAAAACAAACAACCTCCGCTTAAACGCCTCTATTCAAAACACTTTGGGCCATTCCTTGCCATTATTTGTATTGAGACTGTATGCATGCTCTCACATTCACAACCCATTGATGTTAGCAACTAAATTGGTTTTTGTACTTGACTAAAGATGCTCGTCTTGCAGTGCAGTATTTGGTAAAGTTCAACATGGGGGAAAATATCTCTCAACCAATCAGCTGATGCTAGCTGACAGTGCAGAGGCTTTTTGTGCAGCACTGCTGTGAAAGTGTATGAGCAGATACTGTCTCAGGCTAATGAGGTATTATTTTTCAGACAATCTAATAATTCAGAGAGTGAAAGAAGCATTATTGATTTGGGCTTTTTTTCCAGATGTAATGAAGGCAAAGACTGTCTGGAGAATGGCTTTTTAGTGTATCTGCAAACTTTTCCTGTATGCACATGATGCCAATGATAATAACAAACTTTCAATACGTCAAAGTGCTGCTGAAATAAAGCCTCGCTACCTGTTTGGCATGCTTTTATTTTTTGGAGTGTTAGAGGTCAAATGGCTTTGAAAATCCAATTCGGCCTGAAGATTATCTGGAACAATTTGTTGCAGGTCAGACAAACTGTTCAACCAAACGGTTAGTTGAACATTTGATGTACATGGCACACAAAAATGGGAAACACTTTTTCTTTGTGCACAAAAAAAGTAGCCAGACTCTGGCTTTTTGTAGTTTCATACCATTATGGTTGAACCACTAATGTCACACAGACTTTTTAAATGATGTCCTTACTACCTTTCTGGGCCTTGAAAATTTCAGTTGCATTGCTGTCTATGCACGGTCAGAAAGCTCTCGGATTTCATCAAAAATATCTGAATTTGTGTTCTGAATATGAATGAAGGTCTTACGGGTTTGAAACGACATGAGGATGAGTAATAGGTGCCAACTTGTTAGTTTGCGCTGCAATTCAGAGAATTGTATCTGTTGGATTTAGATCATGTAAATTCCATCTTCCATCTTTATTTGACCCTCTAACTCTAGCACTCTCTATTCTAATTCTATTATTAAAAAAAAAAAAACTTGCCCCTTTTAGATTTGCACTCTCTTTATTTACTAACATTTAGCACTGCAGTAATAAAATGTAAGTGAGATAAACAAACTGAGAAATGAGGTCAAATATTATTTTTAGTTAAAATAGATGTTGCCAAAATTTTCATTTGGGAACATAATTTGAAGTTGGAAAAAGTTAATATATTGCAATATCGCAATATATTTATAATCACAATATTGTATCGTGACACAAGTACCGTTGTAATATCGGATCGTGGGGCCTCTGGTGATTCCCACCCCTATAAAAGCATCTGTTAAATGACTAAATGTAATGTAATGTAAATGTAAATTCCTCTATTTCTCCTCAAATACATGAAAGTAAGTGGCCGGAGAACTGGGAGAAGAATATAGTGAACTTTGTAGTTATTTACACTATCCGATATGAATAAAACATGTCGTCAGATTATAATTGAATGGATTAGTATGCTTCCATAGACATCAGTATGTATTTTACTAACTATAAATATATTGTTTTACTAGTACTTATGTGTATTTAAATGTCTGAAACCTAAAATAAACATTATGTGGTTGAAAACACTGCATAGTTGTGATATGTCAAGTGCAGAGCGCGTCAGCCTCTGGCTCAGCGCCAGCCAAAGAGCGAAAGCAGTTTGATTCTGGCAGTTATGTGACGTCACTGTACATTGTAAATCCCATATGTGGGACTATACTCCAAGTGGTACATTTTTTCAAATTTTTGAAATCGAACACAATATAATTTTGACCAGAGGTGGTGCTGTTACCAAAGCTCAAGCATCCTCATTATAACTGCTGATCACAAAGCCACCTTTATCTTTTCCTTTTATCCTCAGAAACATCAAAAAGAAGCAACAACACATACTTTTTGACGCATTTTAATGTAATCATCGGTCTTCGCTATGAACAAAAGAAAGAGTCAAAACATGTCCCAATGGGACGACTTCCCCGTAGAGAGGAGATAAAGAATCCTTCTTTTCCCTTCAGAGGGTGTGTTACTTTGGCGTTTCCTCCTCTTGAATATCAAACTGCCGGTTGGGTTTTGTGGACTCAAGCATAAGCTCATAAATCTGTCCGATCTGCTCGTCTTGAAAGTCTTTGAGTTTCTCTTCAGATAAATCAGAGCCAAACACCAACTTCTTGTTTCCCACCACTTCCAGCACCTGTGTTTGTAGAGTGTCTTTGTAGTTCTGCACAGAAAATAAGACGGAGACAAAAGCATTACTTATGAAAACATAAGCAACCTGTTGAACTTCAAAGCCTCAATGTTCGTGTGCCTGTTATTGGTTCTTGTATTGATTTTACACTCAGGCACAAGTGAGGTATTCATTTGATAGTGCACTATTGATTTACTATAACACACTGTGACAGAATTATTTATTTCTCTTTGTTGGAGATTCATTGATTGCAATTCACATGATGAAACGCAGGTCACGGGGGTTGATGGGGGATGTGTATGATCAGGGAATCCACTAAGGTCTAATGGAGGTCAATGCCTACTGCTCTCTCTCAGTCCGTTGAAATCACTCCCTCTGTATCAGTGATTACCATCTGTATGAAAGATCCACACAGGTTTAAGTTTTACAAAAGGTCCTACAAAACCGACATTCTTCAACTTGCTAGTAAAACTGGCCTTCGACATATCAGAGTTGGAAGTTCTTTTTTTGTTAACTTGTTAAAGAACAGTTATTCCACTGTCGACACATGCTGGCTCCTCAAAGTGCATTCTTGGTGAGTTTGGTTTCTTTTTCAGAATCAATTACAATAAAAAAAAAAAAATAGCAAACTATTTTCATGACGCACGAATGCATTGTTCTTCAAGGTCTACATTCTTTTGCTATCGTGGACAAAACACTGCATCAAAATATTCTCACGGACCATGTTTTAAACTAAATGTACAGCGCCACAATGAAAGAAATGAACAAACATACAATGTGACCAGTGTAGTCCGATACATTAGTTTACAGAGGTGTAATAATTACCTGAAAAGCATACTTGAGTAAAAGTACATATACCTTACAGTGAAAATTAGCAACAGGGACTCAATTACAAGTTACAAGTCACCGATTCCAGTACGACTTGAGTCATACTAAGAGTACTAAATGTAGGCTCAAAGATGCACTAGTCCTCAACACCTAAGAGAAATGCTAGTGAAAAAACGCTCATTTGTGGGGAGATGTTTATTTTCTAAAATCAAAATAAAACTGAATTGCAATAAATCAAGTTTGACAAAACAGCCTCTTAAATGTCTACAAACACTGAAAATATGAAACTATATATAAATATACACTATATATGAAACACTACCCGCTAATGCACTCATATTCACGTTAAATAGCCTTGTTGACAAGTTTGAGTAACGGCAAAACGCACAAGGTATAGTACCTTCAAAGCCCTGTAGATGGCGATATCATAAATTTTTTTAACATAAAATGATGCAGAAAATGGTGCCATGCAAAATATAAGGAGTTGTTGCATTACTCATCACAGATGTATTGGAGTAAAGAGTACATATACTTATTAAAAAATTTAGCCATGTATAGAGAGTAAAAGTTGCTAACATCTTTGATACTCAGTAAAACTATAAACGCAGCCAAAAAGATATTTAAGTACAGTAACTAATTACATTTACTCAAATACTTTATACCACTGTTCATTTAAATAAGCCACTCAAATAGACTCAGTTTGATTCAGTCTTAGTGATTCCCTCGCTCCCTCACAGCAAATCACCTTAAAAGTCTTGTCTGATTTATAGGGCCATATTTACTAACAGCTTGCGCCAGTGCAAACCGTCTTTTTGCGTTAAAACAGTGCTATCAGGATTTACTAAAGATGAGCAGTGAAGAATTAGTGCTGAAAAGGCGTGGACACTGTTATTTTCGCGCCTGACCTTATTGAATATGCATTTGTAGGAGTTTCCCTTTCAGACATAATTTATGGGAGGAGAGTATTAAAATGAACGCAATGCGTTTTACTAATGTTTGCGCTTGTCAAATTACTGGTATATGTGCCATTATTTAACGCCCCAAAAAAGCATGTCTTAAAGCAGGCAGTAATTTGAGCTGCTCTTGGTAGACTGCGCTGGTCATTATGGAAATGATCTGGCTGCATCACACACAGAATTTTCCCCTCCCATCTGCGCTTTTATGCAATTGCGCTCTAATGCTAATTTGCCCTGTTTAGTAAATCTGGCCCATAATGTGTATTTACAGACAGAAATTCACGATTGTTAACGAATTGGTTTTGTTAAGTTTATAGGACCAATTATTGTGGGTTACTAAAAGAATCAGTGACTGAGATCACAATCTGAACCAGATTTGTTACATACTATTCATATCCTCAATCCTTGTAAGACTCTAGTACAGAGTCCCAGACTGCAGCACTAACCATATTTACAGCGTACCGCTGATTCTATCATGAGCTTGGGTTTTCTGTCATCTTAATTGAAACTTGTGTCACATCTGTCATGACTGCTTACAATCAAACATTACAGAGAGACTCATTCAGAAAAACACACTGAAAACAAAACCATTAAGAACTCTCATTCACTCTCCTAACGTCTTAGAATTTGGATTCAATTCAAAGTTGGAAGCAAAAAGCCATTTGTCTGAGATGCTTCCTCCTCTACATAATGTAATTAGATTGAGCATTTGCCAAGGAGTAATATTTTAAGAATGGAGGGGATGTGGGCATGCTGAATGGCAAGCTTTTGGTGAAGCTCACCTTATGAATATAAACACCTCACTTCCCATCACAATGACGTATTCAGGCAACCCGTTTCATGTTGTCTGGAATAGCCTGACTTTCTCAAGGGCACAGAACTTTCAAGATCCATACAGATAAATAGATTAGCTCTATGTCCACCACTCTGTATGTACAAAATAGCTTGGAAACTACTGTTATGCCAGTAGTCATTTAGAAGATGCTTTTATCCAAAGTGACATATAGTGCAATTATTACAGGGACAATCCCACAGGAGCAACCTGAGGTTAATGGAGATGGTTAATGGAGAAGGCACGATATATGTCAAGCAAAGTCTCCAACAAACTTTGGCCAAAACCAAAGTGTTTTTGAGTTCGTTTTGGTGGTTTACTTTCCAGAAAACTTTGCGCTGACTGTGAAACACCTTTGAACTATCACTGGTCCATGATAATTACATAATGCTGTGGCACTCCACCTTCTTGGTGGGTGAAATATTTCCTGGTTAATTTCTTCATTCAGTTCATAAAGGTCAAACACGAGTGAAAAACACAAATGCACTGGACTAAACTTTACAGTTTTACAGTTCGTGAACCAGCAAACTTGAGTTAACCAGCACTTGGTCACACCTGTTTTAATGTCAACGAGAAGTCAAAAATAAGCCAGAAATAAGCTCAAATGCTCTGTCCTGTATTTTGATGGTGCTTATGCTTATATTCATCTGATTATTATTTTCAGCCACACCTTTTTATTTTATTTCTCACTTCACTCTTTATATCTAAATCTCATTGACCCTTCCCTGGGAGTTTAATTGACAATGATAACGGCGAATCTGCCATTTTGACAAACAAACCAGACAGGAGAGTAGATTAATATCAGTGGACTTGAAAAATGGTGTGACGTCTTTTCTCGGTTGAAACAAGATACCTTCTGATGTTCATTCATGTTTATTTCATGCTATAACTAGTAAATATGAAAAGATGATCGGTGCATGTGCCGCTTGAATTGACGTGCTACATCGATCCGTCACAACACATTAAAGAGCCACAAAACAGTACTGTTTAAATTTCTTACAAAATGGCATTTGAAAGCTGAGACTTTGTTTCATAACAAAAGTAAACTGCTCTGTCTTGTCCGTCATCTCATTGTCAGTTTCCCCTTTGCTCTGTGATGTATTCTTCACTGCGTGAGAACATGTGTAGTGTGAGCGCGGCATGGCTTCTCAGACACAGCAACAGTAACTAAGGGCAATGGGTCTTTGAGAAGGGTCAATTGCACTATGGCATGCTGGTGCTCCTGAGGTTCGAGATTGATCCCCCCTTTTGCCACCCCATTAATTTCAGACCTCTGATCTAATTACATTTTTTATAAAGAAAAAGCAGACTATTTACACTAACTCCACCCACCAACATGTTTTTGGGCTAGACAACATTACAAAAGATGACTGTCAACAAACAGTCCCAGTGGCCTAAGTGGTAAAAAGCGTAGCGCAGACTTTTTGACGCAATCGGGTTCGAATCCGCCTTTTGCCGCTCTCGTTCTTGTCTCTTTTCATATCTCATATCACACCCCCCTTTTGCCACCCCATTAATTTCATACCTCTGATCTAATTACATTTTTTATAAAGAAAAAGCAGAGACTATTTACACTAACTCCACCCACCAACATGTTTTTGGGCTAGACAACATTACAAAAGATGACTGTCAACAAACAGTCCCAGTGGCCTAAGTGGTAAAAAGCGTAGCGCAGACTTTTTGACGCAATCGGGTTCGAATCCGCCTTTTGCCGCTCTCGTTCTTGTCTCTTTTCATATCTCATATCACACTGGAAATGCATTTATTTTAAATAAAAATTAAGGAAAATAATCAAAAAGTTGAAAATAAAGTGTCGGGTAGGGTTAGGTGTAGGGAAGGCTTTATTGTCCCAATAATCAGCATCCATTTAATAATTTTGATAAAACTTATAATTTACACTCACTATGTTATTATTGCATAATGTATAATGTACTACAATACTGAAGTGCAGATATTTGCCACTATTTGTGATTAGTATAAATAGCAGAAAATACTGCTATTTTTTACATAGTGTAAATAGAATCTATAGTTATTTGCACTTAGTGTGTAAATAAAGTAAATGCTGCTATTTTCATTTAGTATAAACGGCAACTAATTGCTATTTACACTAGTGTAAATTGCATCTATCGCTATTTAGTGCAAATAGCCACTGCCTAAAGAAAATGGTGTGCCATTTGCACATAAAAAAGTTGCCACTAGTGTTATTTTTTTTATTGTTTAATGTTTTGAAAAAGCGTAAACGTAATTAAAACATTTGTAATTTTGTTGCGTTTGTCATTTTATTAGTTTTATTCATTATTATTTCAGTTTTAGTTTACAGTAGATCAAGTTAAACTAAATAAAAATGAGACATGTTGCCTTGGACAATAATTAAAAACAAGTTACATTTTTAAATATTTTATTTTGCTTTAGTAAAAGTTGATTTTATTTCAAGTAACAAACATGTTTAAAATTATGGTTAAAGTTTAAGTTTCAGTTAAATAAAATAACCATGCTTTACCAAGTGTTGTTGTGATGGTTGCCTGCGGGTTGTCATAAGGTTTTTATGGTGTTCTGAATGGTTTTTAGCATGTTGCATCGAAGATTAATATGGGTTTCTGGTCCCTCTATCAAAATAAGTCTATGGAATTTATTCAATCCACCAGATGAAAACGGCAAAGCCATATATGAAAAAAAACACATCTTTCACTCCATCACATTCTCTGTTTCTCTCCTTTTCTTTTATTCCTCAGGGAAAGCTTGTCTGTTGCAATGCGGTCGATTTATTAGGCGATGAGAAGCCCCCTGGGCCCTCTACTGTAACTGGATTAAAGTGAACACTCAGTGCTCCTAATTACATTTGGAAGCTCGCTCTACGTCTGTTCCTGGCTCCGTCGCCCTTCCTTGTTTTGTTTTTTTTCCCTTCCAGCAGTGCTTTGAAAAGCGAGACCCTACAGTGATTCACTCACCTCCTAATGAACGAGCGGGGAGGGGGTTCTTAAACACACACCGGCTCCTTCCCAGATCTAATATCAGAGTGGACTCCACCGTTTACAGAGCAGAGACAGAGTGTGAAGTATTTCCAAAACCTAGTGAGCTGCCTGCCTGGACAACATCTTAAAGGGGGTATCTGCTCACCCTAACATCATCCCAAACCTGTATGACTTTCTTTCTTCTGCAGAACACATAAGCCGAAGTTTGGAAAAATGTTGGGAAACAAACAACACTGGAGCCCACTGACATGTCAAACAAACACTTTTATACACAAAAGAAAGTAAGTCATACAAGTTTGACAGATTATGACAGATTGACAGATTTTTGGGTGGAGTTTCCCTTTAAGGCATTAGTCTTTTCCTGACACAAAAATGCTCTCAATTGGTTGATTCAGGACCCAGGTTTTAAGTGGTGACCTAATATAGTACTAAAATGGTTTATTTACTAAATTGTAAATCGAGTTTCAATGGTTTCATGCTCTCTACCACTAAAACACATTGTGGTCAGCACAAACCATATGTTTGCCATGGTGCAAGTGAACTCAATTCCAAAGCAGTTCAATCTAATAAAAAAAGTTACCCATTATTTGTGTCATTTTACGATTATGGAGTATCACGTGGTTAGCTTAGTAACGCTAATGTCAAACTTTACTTGAATCCTACCTATGAGTCAGTCAGTATGTTAGATGAAAAAAATCATAGTACAAAAATAAAACAATGGCTATATTACAAAATATTAAAAATCACTCGTTTTTCTAAAGAAAAATTGTGCAACAGTGACACCCGCAAGTAAAATTTCAGCGGGAGTTGGCATCTCTCTTGCCTCACCTGAGCCCGTTGAGTTTTAACAGACCTCCTATAGCGTGTGGTGAGTTTGGTGGGGGGTAATTGAGAATGAATGAGGGAAAGTTACATGAGAGGAGGCAATGCCTCCATCGCGATATGATTGGATATGACTGGTTATATTCGGCTGTGATTGGTTCATGCGATAAATCCCGCCTCTTGTGTTTGTGCATGTCCGTGAATCAGTCTGAATGAACAATATAATGACTAATTTAAAAAAAGTAAGTAAACAACTCACACACTTAGATATAACCACTTTATGTCAAGTCAAAATAAGACTTCAAATGGCCTGAAAACATGATCTGTGTGAGTTTTTAATGAGTAATGAGCTTGGTGTAATTTAAAGTAAATCTCTGTGTCTGTGACCAATATTTACAAAGCTTTGATGTCTGATGATCTGAAAAATTAAAAAATAATTAAAAGTTAACTATTAAAAAGAATAGCTGAATATAAGTTCACAAATAAAATATTTTGTTTAAATTGTTACTGCCTTGAGTTATTATTTTGGAATAAATGTAAAATGCTTAATAACTTGATGAGATTCATACCATGCGATAAATCCCGCCTCTTGTGTTTGTGCATGTCCGTGAATCAGTCTGAATGAACAATATAATGACTAATTTAAAAAAAGTAAGTAAACAACTCACACACTTAGATATAACCACTTTATGTCAAGTCAAAATAAGACTTAAAATGGCCTGAAAACATGATCTGTGTGAGTTTTTAATGAGTAATGAGCTTGGTGTAATTTAAAGTAAATCTCTGTGTCTGTGACCAATATTTACAAAGCTTTGATGTCTGATGATCTGAAAAATTAAAAAATAATTAAAAGTTAACTATTAAAAAGAATAGCTGAATATAAGTTCACAAATAAAATGTTTAAATTGTTACTACCTTGAGTTATTATTTTTGGAATAAATGTAAAATGCTTTAAAACACTAAATTGATAAGATTCATACTTGGCTTTAATATAATATTGATTATATCGTTAATGTAAAAATATCAAATAGGTTTTTTCCCCCCTGATAGTGTAAGTAATGTTTATTTAACCAAGAAAATGTGACTGGGACATGAAAAAAAATACAAAAAACTTTGAGGACTTTGCCTCCTGAATTCACCCACAAATTAAAAATCTGTCATCATTTACTCGCCCACATGTCGTTCCAAACCTGTGTAATATTTTTTCATCTATGCAACACAAATGCTGAATATCCTGGCCACTCTTTTCATTACAATGAAAGTGAAACTGGAGCTGTTAAAATGAATGAAAGAAGCAATATCTGGCAAGATGGCCTGAATGCTATGTTCCAGGTCTTCTGAAGTCATACGACAGCTTTGCCAAGAAAAAGACCTAAATATATGTTTTACGTGTTAATGAAATAATGAGTGAAGTCCGATTAATTAAGAAATTGTTCTTTTGAGTCAAATCTTCTGTAACTGCCTACATGTACACCTGAAATGCTGCAAAAAACTAGAATTTCCTCCTGACAGTCAGTAGCTCATTTTGGAAGGAAGTGTACATGTCCTTCTGTACAAGAACAGAGTGACTCCCATTACCTGCAAGTGTGTGATTTTTACCCTCTTAAAGAATATCGGTTACTGTCGTTGCCAATCCAGGAACACTGCGTCCTCACACTTCACGACTGTGAAAATGCAATAAGAGTCAGCTTTGTCCACACTCATGTCAGAGCTGCTGACACTGAATCATACCGCAGGTGTAATACGTTTTGTGAAGTTTGGCTGTTAAAAAAGCATCTCCAATTTCCAGGCGTAGAGTAAAAGAAGATCTGCATCGTTGCTCCTTGAATGCACGCTGCTGCATGTTCAAGTGGAGTTCATGTGTTGAATTCGATCTTTGGATTTGTCACGGAGATTTTCATACGAGCGCGATGTCGGCGCTCTCATAAACGGCATGATTCTGTCCCTACAGAACTGAAATTAAAGAATGAACTCTAATCAAGGTGATGCTGGATTAAAGTGTAATTGATGTACACAGATGGTGTCTGGACATGGCTGTGCTCCCTAAGAGAAAAGGATTTGTTAGATATAGGTTATGGATAAATTGCATTAAGTTCTCATGCTGCTGGAGAATTTAGGAAGGTGCTGCCCTCGTGTGGAAGGTTTCAGCAAAGGCCTGAGTTTTCCCGACTCATTAAGGAACTGGAGACTTGGTAGCATCTCTTGTATAAGCAGTTTCTTTTGCAATGCAACGGTTTCCGTTTAAAATGTATGCACATTCATATCCATCTTGTTTTCACAATGGCTGCTGACAACCTAATCGAGAGGGAAAATGCTAAATAGGATGAGGATGAAGATTAATAAGGGATTATTTACATGTGAGGTCATGTGAGAATTGTGATGTATAGTGGCATGATGTAAACGTACGGATACATGATATATCAGTACCATATTGGTTACTGAGTTTATTTATTTGAGTATTGGTTGATATTGGATATACTGTATATCAGTCAGTTTAGATATTTAATTGTGCATGCTCATTTACCTAACCCTAACCCTCACCCTCATCTAATTAAAGTTCACCTGAAGTTACATCTTTATTATTAATAAACACAGTTCAATGTAATTTTTAACAAACCTCAAAATGAATCTTTTTCATGCTGTACAATACAATGTGTTGATGCCCTAAATTCACTTGTAACATTAAAATGACTGATTTTAGTTTTTAGTGTTTTTAAAGCGTATTTACACAAAATAGTAAAAAAAAAAAAGTGTTTTTATTCTGTGCTTTTTCCGTTATCAGCAATAATGTGTTTTAATTTTGTGCATACCTACTTATTTGTATTGAATATGCACTTCTAGTGTACTTCAAATCTTAAAAGTATATATTAAATCAATAAAAATATGAAATATATTTTACAAATATTAATAATAATAATAATCAATATATAAAATATAAACTGTTTCTTGACACACTTAAATGCACTTTAAGTCTACTTCGAAATAAATGTCAAATTAATTTTTACTTTACATTTAAAAATCATTGTTTAAATATTCTTTTGCTATGCTAAAAGAATAGAATTGCTAAAGTGTACAATTATTTTACAAGAGTGCAAGATTACAATTATTTTAATGTGTTGGCTACCATACTAAAGCACATGTACAGTACTTGATTACAAATTAAATAGTGTGTTGCTCAATATTACATTTAAAGCTATTATATTTTAAATGTACTAAATTGCAACTTACATGATACTGTAATTCAAATTAAGTTTGAATAGAAATGACATTTTCAGCTTTTTCAATGTCCACAAATATTACATTAAGTTTGCAATTCTTTAAAGGATATCTCCATAATAATTACTCTTTTTTTTAAAGATTTTAGATTTTTAGATTTATGTCTTAAGTGTTGTACAACACTATCCGTATAACACCAATAAATGTGCCACTGAAATCAAACATTTAGTCAGTGGAAGGCCTGAGGGCTTGATGCACCCTATGTGATTTAAAAGCATTAGTTTCTCTGCAGTCAAGTGACACTGACAGCTAGCAGCAGGCTCGTCTTACCTGCCATTCCGCCATGAAGCGTGTGGCCTCTTCAGCTGATGCAGTCTTGTGTCTTCTGAACTCGTCTTTCACATACTGATCACCCAGAGCCCGCAGGTCTATGGGCATGAAGCGGTGCAGCATCAGGATCCTCTTATACAGAGACCGTACAGCTGATACATGTGCTGCAGGAGCCATAACTTCAATCGTTATCTGAAAGTAAACTCTAGATATGACAAGCGCGTCCCGTTTGAACACCGCAACGGCCCAGAACGAGTGCTAAAACCCTAAAACCAAAGCTCATGAGAGAGGTGAGCCAATCCGAAATGACATATTATAAAAGGTTTCCACATTACATTCATTACCTAACCGTGCTGTCCTTGTGTATGTGCAGACTTCTTCACCGCAGCGCTGTGAGTGTTAGCAGAGCTGCTGCTGTCCTCTGGTGGCGAAGAAACCTCCAAACCTATAATAAAACATAGGCCTAATTTCAGTCTCATTCATAATTATTTAACCGTTTGCTAAATGAATCTGAGTTAATTAAATAGGACAATATTTGGCTGAGATACAACTATTTGAAAATCTGGAATCTGAGGGTGCGAAAAAAAAAAAATCTAAATATTGAGAAAATCGCCTTTAAAGTTCTTAACAATGCATATTACTAATCAAAAATTAAGTTTTGATATATTTACTGTAGGAAATTTACAAAATATCTTCATGGCACATGATCTTTACTTAATATCCTAATGATGTTGGCGTAAAATAAAAATCGATAATTTTGACCCATGTATTGTTGGCTATTGCTACAAATATACCCGTGCAACTTGTGACTGGTTTTGTGCTCCAGGGTCACATATGTCCAGAAATATTTAAACATGTTAAAGGGTTAGTTCACCCCAAAATGAAAATAGTCCTTGTGACATCAGGGGTTCAACCGTAATTTTACGAAGCTACGAGAACACTTTTTGTGCGTGATCCACGATCAACACACAGAAACGTAGCAAGGACATCGGTAAAATAGTCCATGTGACATCAGGGGTGCAACCGTAACTTTACAAGCTACGAGAATAGTTTTTGTGCGCAAAGAAAACAATAATAACATAATGTATTCAGCAATTCTTCTCCCCGAGTTACCGCCTCCCCGAGTTACCGCCATTTTGGAGAGTATCCCAGAACGTAATGAACATAAACATCGCTGATTACGTTCAGAGAAAGCATGCACATTAACGTAAACAACGCTGATTACATTGATTATGTTCTGGGGTACTCTCCAAAATGGCGGAAGACGGTAACTCGGGGAGAAGAATTGCTGAATAAATTATGTTTTTATTGTTTTCTTTGCGCACAAAAAGGGTTCTCGTAGCTTCATAAAATTACGGTTGAACCCCTGATGTCACATGGACTATTTTACCGATGTCCTTACTATGTTTCTGTTTGTTGATCGTGGTAATATCATTGCGGTCTATGGGAGGGTCAGAGAGCTCTCAGATTTCATCAAAAATATCTTAATTTGTGTTCTGAAGATGAACGAAGGTCTTACGGGTTTGAAACGACATGAGGGTGAGTAATTAATGACAGAATTTTCATTTTTGGGTGAACTAACCCTTTAAGTGTATATAATATAATATAATAATAAACATGCGGGAAAATAACTTACAGGCTTTGCATGTACTGATGTAAATTATGCAACCTAGATTGCAGAACTTGTTGCACAATCTGTAAAGTCATATGTGTGTTTAAGGGCAGGACGTTTGGAGCATTGATGTTATATTTACTTAAATGAGTTCAAGAAGCAGGTTTTATCATACGTGCATAAGACATGAGGTCATTTAAGCGGCACATTTTATTTTTAAGTGGCGTAGCAGTGAGTGTCCTTCTCTCAATAACTTATTCACGTGTTTTAAGGACTCTGACACCTTCATTTGATATGAATGACAGTAATATACCTGCTGTACAACATACAGGTAAGACAAAGGCTTTTTCTCTACTCTTACATGTGTAATCAGCTGCAACCAAAGTAAATAAAAAAGAAGGAGAAAGGAGACAGATGAAGGAAATAGCATACTAATATACTACTCTTATATTGCTGCGGTATGTAGTATGTACTGCTCAGAGTATGCAAATTTATGTACAGTATAGAATAGAATACCTATGATCTACTACATTTAAGTCAAGTCGAATCAGCTTTATTTCTATAGCACTTTATACGATACAGATTGTTTTAAAGCAGCTTTTACAGTGGTAAACAAGAAAATAATGATTCAATGTTGCAAACAGAATTCAATAGTAAACTGTCATTATTCAGATGAAATCAGCTCATTTACTTAACAAAAGCATATGCTTAGAATGGATAGTTTACTGCTTGTTTGTTGGGTCTGAATTTTTCGCATGTATACTGTACTGCACTTACCGGACATGTGCATTGTAATTCTGCATAATTGTTGTCACATGACGTCATCATATCAACAAATGACACCCAATTATGATCTTGGAAATAACAAATTGTATCTCTTGTAAACAACAAAAAAGTACACTTTAGCATACATTTACTTCTTGTTATTGAAATAATAGACTTAAAATCAAAATAAAAAAGTAGTTATGTAATTTCATAAATCTGTTGTCTTTGAAATATGGTTAAAGTGCACTGCTGAATGTACTGACAAGAATTTAAGATAAATTCATATATACTGTAATATTTTTTGTATTGAAGCTTGCATGTGATGTATTTAAATTATTTGTAATTAAACATTTAAAATAATGAAGTTGCAATTTATGATATATTAATATTAAATATAATATCAAATCACAGAGTAGCTACAGTTGAAAATAAAATCAAGTACTTTACATGTGCCTTAGTGTGTTAATCAACACATCAAAATAAGTGTACTTCTTTAAAGCGTAACAAACGATTATTAAAACATAATGATTTAAAATGTACTTTAAAGTAAAACTTTTACTTTGGCATTGTTACATATTTTAAAGGTGTACTTAAGTGTTAATAAGCTTTTATTTAATTAACATTACTGCATATTATCATTGCATAAGTACAGTTTTGACACATCAAGTGCACATTCAATACAATTATGCACATTTCTTTTTCAGAGGAATTATTCAGCTTGTTAATTAGCATTTTTAATCAAATTTGCAAAAAAAAAAATTTGACGTTTAAAAAAAACATGTTTTAACATTTAAATAATGTGTCAACATTTTTTTAATAAAAATAGAAATTCACATAGAAATGCCAGGTCACATCAAGGGGGCATAATGCATTATTATGTGATACAGTGCCTTGTACTGTGTGCTCTGTAGTATACCTGCACACTTCGATAAATTTACTAGGTCACCCAAAGTATTCCTTGCATGCAGAAAATGTGCATACTACACACAGTATACATACTGCAAAAATAGCATGATACATTAGGTAATTCTCTACATGACATTTGACTGCCAGTCTCTTTCTGTTTCTAAGCTAAACTCTAATATTCTTATAGCTGAGAACAGAAGAGCTGCGCTGGAGTTCAGCCAGAAGGTCAGAGTGTTGTGCTGGGTAATGACACAGCCCAAACACCTGAAGTCCAGAACCCAACATGTTCGTGCCACATGGGGCAAACGCTGCAACATCGTTCTGTACATGAGCTCGGAGGCATCAGATTTCCCCACGGTAGGGCTCAACGTGTCAGAAGGACGCAGTCAACTCTACTGGAAGACCATACGGGCCTTCCAGCACATCCACACGCACCATCTGGACCATGCTGATTGGTTCCTCAAAGCTGACGATGACACGTTTGTTGTCCTTGAGAATTTGCGCTACGGTTTGTCCAAGCACAACGCTGAGGAGCCGCTGTATTTTGGGCGTAGGTTCACGCCATTCGTCGCACAGGGCTACATGAGCGGAGGAGCTGGTTACGTCCTTAGTAAGGAAGCTTTGAGGAGATTCGTGAAGGGCTTTGCTGATGGTCTTTGCACACACAACACGGAAACTGAGGATGTTGGTTTGGGAAAATGCATGGAGACAATGAAAGTTCAGCTGGGTGATTCCAGGGACGTTTTGGGGAGACAAACCTTTCATCCTTACCCTCCAGATTATTACCTGCCCAGACAGACACCCAGACTACGACCCTGGTACCTCCTCTATGAGCATTACCAACCGGTTGAGGTAAGTATGAGATGTTTGAAGGGGATTAATGCCGGAATTACCCAGGCTTTTGCCCCAATTTACAGTCTGCAGGAGTCAATGCTAGTCTGCACATTTTATGCAGTCAGAGTTTACATATTTTACAGAAGATCGTGTAGTGTATGATGGCCACATACTTCACCCAAAAATGAAAATTAGCTGAAAATTTACTCACCCTCATTCCATCCAAGATGTATATGAGTTTGTTTGTTCATCTGAAAAGATTTGGAGAAGTAGCATTACATCACTTGCTCATCAATGGATCCTCTGCAGTGAATGGGTGCCGTCAAAAAAACAAAACAAAACAAAAAACGATTCACCAGTTCTTTGACATCACATAATGATGTCATTAATGCATAATATCATCCATGTGGTTGAACATGCGCAAATAAAGCCAAGTATGTAGCTGATTTACATTTTATTCAATTAATTGTTATTAAAGGGTTATTAAAGAGACGAATTCAATCTGGTTAGTTCACCCAAAAATGAAAATTAGTCCATGTTTTACTCACCCTCAAGGCATCCTAGGTTTATATGACTTTCTTTTCTCAGACAAATTAAATCTGAGTTATATTAAAAATTATCCTTGCTCTTCCAAGCGTGAATGGCAGTGGGTGGGTGTTTTTGTTCAACAGTCCAAAAGTAGTCAAATAAAGCGCATCCATTCATATAAAAAAAAACACACATCACACGGCTCCAGGGGGTGAATAAAGGCCTCCTGTAGCGAATCAATGCGTTTTTGTAAGACAAATATCCATATTTAAAATGTTATAAACACCTTTCTTTCACTTCTGCTAACTGTCTTAGGCGTTTGCGTAGCGCGCCGGTGATAAGTGATGCAGTGACGCAGAAGCGCGATGGAGAGAGAACAAAACAAAACGCTGGTCACAAATTAGAAGCACAAAACGAGGATTTGTAAAGAAAAATGTCGGAGGAATTCAATATAAGCCAAGAGGAGATTTTGAACGCGCGCACGACAGTCAGCTGAAGTCACACAAAACTATTTATATAGTTTAAATATGGATATTTATTTTTAAAACACATCTATTTGCTACAGGAGGCCTTTATTCATCCCCCAGAGCCGTGTGAGGCACGTTTTATTATGGTTTTGTGTGCTTTATTTGATGTCTTTTGGACTGTTGAACAAAAACACCCACCCATGCCAATATAAAGCTTGGAAGAGCAAGGACATTTTTTAATATAACTCCAATTGTATTCGTCTGAAAGAAGAAAGTCATATACACCTAAGATGCCTCGAGGGTGAGTAAAACATTGACTA